AAGGCACAGAGGGGTGTGGAGAGGACTCTATCGCTGGGCTCTATGCGGGAGCAGGAGCCAGGGCCCTGTCCTGCTCACTTTCCATGCGCCCTTCCCTCACCCCTCAGACCCCCAGCTCTGGACGCATACAGCCTGAGCCCAGAGCGGCCAGGAAGGCCAGTGGCACACACTGGTCTCCAGAGCACCCAGGCAGCCCAAGGCCCATGGAGGCCACACTATCTGCACAGTCAGGCTCTGCTCACCAGAGCAGCCTGGGCTGGGCCTTTCCTGGTGGCCACAGGAAGCAAACATGGATCAGCAGCTGTGGTGGGAGATAGTTCGGGGCAAGAAGGTGAAGACCGCCTCGCTCAGGTCTGGGGGCTCAGAGGACGCTAATCCTCAAAGAGAGGAGCGCGTGAGGCCGTGCGTGTGTGCGTGCGTGTGTGTGTGTGTGTGTGTGTGTGTGTGTGTGTATGATGGAGAGAGGGAGGAAGGAAGGAGGAAGGAAGGAAGGAAGAAAAGAGAGGAAAAGAGGAGGAGGAGAAAACAAGAGAGAAAGAGAAGGTGCAGCTGGCCATAGGATAGCAGTGCCATCATGAGGAGAGCAGAGGGTGGCTGGCTGCACACACAGCCAGGGCTGCCTTGGTGAGGCTGGGGAGAGATGTGTGCTGTGCTTGCCCCATGGGCAGAGCGGCAGTGGGCAGGGTGTCGGGGCACAGGCCACCCACAGAGAGTCTGCAGCCAGCACCTCTGCCTGCCCTGCATGTGCCCCTTAGGAGGCCAGGTAGCGCCACACAAAGGAAAGTCCGACACCACCACATCAGTCTGGGTCTGCTGCACCCCAGCATTGGGGACAGTGCCGGGCACATAGAGGCCCTCAATCAACAGAGGTGGGGTTGGCCGGACAGGCTGGCCCAACACGAGAAGGTGCTGGAAAGGAGGGAGCTATAGCAAGAAGGCAGAGGAGCTCTCAGGCACAGGAGCAGCAGGTGCAAAGGCCCTGTGCCATGTGAGGGCTGGAGGGAAGCCCGGTCCCCAGGCTTCTCCTGGGACTGACTGACCCTGACACTGACTGACACTGACACTGACATGTGCAGAGCTGAACTGGCAGGTGGGGGCTGCAGGTGAGGGTGGGCCTGACCCTAGGAGGCCCTAGGCAGGGGTGTGGCTAGGGGCGGGGCACAGGGTATCATCCTATCAGGCCTCACTCTCTTGCCAGGGACCGACCTGGTCCCACCCCACCCATCTCTGGAGCTGGTCCATGGGCGCTGGCCAGGCCAGAGCAGAGATGGCGGCCATGCAGGAGAGGAAGACTGCCCTGAATTAATCTGTCACTAAAGCTTGGCCGTGGCAAGCGCAGTCATGATTTAGATGAATAATTGAAACGCTCCGATACATTTATTATCCCTTTAGTGCAAAAGTGGCAGAGAAAGACGAGGGGTAATTGAAAAAGAGCGCACAAATCTCGCCGAGAAAGCCAGCTTCTTATCGCCAAGTAAACATTTCAGTCCTAATAAACAGGAGAGATGAGTCAAGGCTCTGTCGATTCCCAGTCTGATTTAGAACCCACCTCCCTTCTTACTATACAATGGGAGAGTGTTCTTAAAAATTTTTTATTGAGACAAAAAAAGGCTTTCTATGAGGGAGGTGGGGAGAGGAGTGGGCCCAGCAATCATCAGCCAGTCGACCCTGGATATTAGGCTTCCCTGTAGCAGATGCCATCTGTCCCTGGGGCCTTCTCCATCATGCTGTACCTGCTGAACTCCTATTCAGCCTTCAGTGCCCAAGTCCAATGTTCCCTTTGATGAGAAACCTCTTACCAAACTGGGTCCCCTTGAGGGCAGAACCAAGTCTTGAGTCCCAGTGCTCAACAGAGCCCCTCAACCCAGAGACAGCCTGGACCAGGGTGGGGAGGTTCCCCAAGACACTGTGTTGACCCCTCCCAGGAATCCTGTACCTTCAGGATTAAGTCCCTTTAGCCCCAGCAGCGCCTGGGGGCTGTCTCTGAGGTTGGGGGTGCCCAGCTTCGCAGAGCCAAAGTCCTTGCCACCCTGCGTCTCCATCGCTTGCAGCCAACATGGTGGGCAGCTGCACCCTGGCCCTTCAGGAGGAGCCCCAGGTCCCCAGCCACTGGCGGCTGAGACCTGCCCCCTCCTCCCAGGGTGCCACAGCCTGGCTCCTCTTGGGGAGGGGAGATTCCAGGCGTGGAGAAGGGCAGAAAGGAGCGCAGGTAAGGTGCAAGTGTGTCACAGGGATCAGTGCTTGGGGAGAAGGCGACGGACAGGGTGAGGGGCGGGCAGCTGTGTCAGGGCAAGAGGGCGCTAGGAGGAACAGGGCTTGTCCAACGCATGGGTGGGGATTGGTGGGTGGAAGGTGGGGAGACGGGGCGCACGCAGGGTCTGAGCCCTGCTGAGGAGCCTCTGGGGGCCCAGTGGAGATCCTGGGGTCGGGGAAGAGTTGGGGACACTCCCCCTCCAGCCATTTTGAGGCTGGGGACAAGGCCTCAGGGGACACATGAGGGCAGGAGATGCTGAGGGCGGCCCCAGACTCCGCCAGCCTATCCCCAGCCCACCACAGCCCCTCCCTGCCACCTCCACCTTGTTCCAATCACATTAGTAGAGTGACAGCCCCAGGGAGCTGCCGGAGGCTCCATAAATCTCAGGCAGCTTAAAAGGCTGGAGTCTGGGCCCACTTCCTCCGGGTTGTGCTGCCCATCCATCTCCTCGTCAGGCAGGCCACGCTCGCGCATGGGCCTCCCAAATCCCTGAGGCCGCGATGGACCTGGGGGCCCCACAATGGCCCCTGGCTCTCCAGAGTAAGGTCACCAGGGCATCTACAGACTACTGCTTGCTCCATCTACAACCTTGAGGGCTGGCCCTCTGCCCTTTCCCTTTTAAGGCCATCCCAATCTTCACCTGTAGTTCACTCAGTCACTCAACAGTCCCTGTGCAGCAGATCCAGTTCTGGGTGACTCAACGTGAGCTCAGTGCTCTGAGAACATTCAAGAGCAGGGTGAGGAGCCAGGGATCTGGGAGCCCCTCTGAGAAGACAGCTTCAAGTAAAGACTTGGAAGAGGGTTGGGGGCACCCCCAAGGACATCTGCAGGAGGAGCACTCCTGGCAGAGAGGCAGTCAATGCAAAGGCCCTGAGACACAAGTGGGCCTGGCCTGTTCCTGCAACCTGCGGGTGCAGCCGGAGCCCAGTGGGAAGGGGATTCTGAAGGGCTCTGACTGGGGACCTTGTGGGCCATGGTAAGGACCTTGGCCTCGGCTCTGAGTGAAGTGAGGGGTTTTTTGTGGGTTTTTTTTTAAGTGAGGGTTTTTGAGCAGAAGACAAATGATGAGCTGAGGATTGAGAAGGCCCACATCTCCCTTTGATCCTCTTGGACTGGCTAAACCCCAGCTCCTCCCAGGATCTCTCAGGCCTCCCCCGAGGACTCTGATCTGCTGAGCCTTCCCAAAAGCCCATGCGTTCCTTCCCTTCTGGGCTTTGCCCATGCGGTTCCTCTGCCTGGGCGCCCTTCCCTCCTGTCTTTGCAGGGTTTGCTCCTACCCATGCCAGGGCTCCAGCTCCAGCGCAGGCGGGTGCTTCTGGCCATGCTGCTCTGGTGCCTGTGACCCCACCCCCAGATCAGCTGGTGTCATGGTGGGCGACACGGTGAACCGGGAGAACAGCGACCAGGCCCACCTGAGCCCACCACATGTGCCCTGACACCTGGCTCAGTGCCTAGCACACAGGAGGCGCTCAAGCGCTGGGTGATGAGCAAGTGGACAGGAGAGGGTGCGTGGGGGCTGGTGATGGCCACTTGGGAGGGACAGGCCCCGGAGCAGGGCCTGGGTGGCAGCCCATCTGTGAGCCCACAGTCGCCTCCTGGGTGGCCATGACCTCCACGGGGACGGCTAGAGGAGAAGGGGGAGGGGAAGCATCTCTAGTTGCAAACAGACCCCATTCTGCGTCCTGGCTGGCTGGCTGGTCACTGCCAGCTCTTAACGCCGCTCTTATTTATTCCTGACCTCCACTGCCCCTTTTATTTTTCCCCCTTTTAAAACCTGGCCTGGGCCCCGCCACCGCCGCCGTAAACACGGCCCCCTGGATTTATCCTACAGCGCATTAACCCCTGCCCCCTGGCGCACCCATCATCCTGCTGTTGCCTGTATAGACAGCAGCCGCCCGGCGGGCTGGGGGCTGGGGCCGGAGTTGTATGGCCAGGATGGGGAGGCTGGTGGGGAGGTGCTGGGGCCACTGATGCCCCCTCCGCACCTCCTGATAACCTTGGCCCCACACCTGGCAGCCGGACCCACTTGACCACTGACTTCCTGTTGGCCTGACTCTCCAGGACCCCTGCCTCATGGTAGCCAGCTGACAAGAGTGAACACATGGATGTCCCTGGGGACTTAGCAGGGGCACAGCTCCCCTGACTTTACCACCGTCTGTCCTGGCTGCAGAGCCACCTTCCAGGCTCCAGGGCAGGGCAGAGGCAACAACTACCCTGTCAGGTGAGGAAGCAGGCAGTGGACACAGGGCTTCCGGAGGCCACAGGTCATGAGGGGCGGGACTGGGACTGGCTTTCCCCAACACATCCTGGCCCCCAGCGCCCTACACTTGGCCAGCAGGAGCCCTGTGCGGGCAGGAGAGGGTGCAGGCCACCTCGGCAGTGACGGAGCCAGGCCGGCCATCCAGACCTCCAGCTTTGGTATGGTGACGGAAGGGAGGGCTGAGCTAACAGGGGCAGGAAGGGAGGAAAGGATAGAAAGCCAGGCATGGTGGGGCACACCTGTAATCCCAGCACTCTGGGAGGCTGAAGCAGGAGGATCAAAAGTTTGAGCCCCTGCCTGGGCAATGTAGTGACTTAGTGAGATCTTGTCTCAAAATAAAAAATAGAAAAGGCACTGGGGATTTAGCTCAGTGTGAAGGCCCTGGGTTCAATAGCCAATAACAGCCCTTACACACACACGAAAAAGGAGATGCCAAAAGAGATGTCACCAACCTCCCTACCCCCAAACTCAGGAAGGTCCACTTACCACCTCCGCCTCCAAGCAGGGAGCTGTTGGCTGCAAGAGAGAGAGAGAAGCAGTCAGTAGAGCTAGCTGGGGCAGGCAGCGTGCTGGGAAGAGGGGTCTTGGAGTGGCTGTCAGTTGCCCCCCAGCTGGCCCAGAACCCTAGGCCCTCAGACTCTGGCTACAGGGCCTCCCAGCCCCTTGAGCAGGGGCACGTGATGGGGGTGGGGGTGGGAGAGGGGCCGGGACTCTTGTCCCTTGATGCTCCTAATGGCCTGAGGTTTGTAGGGTGGCAGGGACAGGGCAGAGGAGAGCCATCAGGGAAGCAGCTGCCTGTGGGGGTCAGGGTGGCAGAGGACACACACCAAGTGTCCTTCTGTCCGTCATTCTTTTGCCCCCCAGCATCAAATGGTGTGGTGGGCCACTATGAGACCCAGTAGGGCCTGGCCTGAGGCGGGGACGGGGGTACAGGTGGCCTGATCCCTGCTCTTGGGCTCACAACTCTACCACTTCGAGTGTGGAAAGTGCTGCCAGGACAAGCAGGAGCCATGAGGACAGGGACAGGGCTGGGGCTGCCTGGTGGGGCCAGCCAAGGGTTGCCATGTCAGGGCCCAACACACTGTGGCTGGGGCACCTGGGCCTCAGTTTCCCCAGATGTGCAGTGGGCAGCAGTGCCATTCATTCCAGGGTCCATGTGAAGGTGAAGGGGGAGGGCACCCCTCTTTGGGGCCGTGACTCTAGCAAATATAGTAGGTGGCACCGCCACAGCCACCACTTTCCCAAGCAGCCCTGTGTAGCTCACTGTGCCCAGCTGGCTGCCCCTCCCACTTTCCGTGTGGCTGACATCCTCACCCTTGGCCCTGCCTGGGCTCCCACTGCGGCTACAAGTCTGTGCCGCTGGTGAACTTCTGGATTCACCAGGCGGGGTGTGGGGTGCCCCAGACCCCAAGCTGCCCAGGTGGGCCTGGGGGCCTGGCTCCCAGGCTGGGTCTTCAGCTCCTTTCACGCCCCTGCCCTGGCCACACCAGTCGCAGCCCTTCCTGTAGGAGGGCTGTGCCCTGGGCTCTGTGCAGAAGCTGCGGACTCTGCTAAGTGGTGTCGGGTGGCTCTGAGTGGCTGGTCTCCCAGACCTGACAGCTCTTCGCTTGGGGAATAATTAATTCCACAGCCCGAACACCCAGGGCTGCAAGTTGCCATGTTACTTGTGAGATTAATACAAGCAGCTAATTAAGATGGAGAGGCGAGGAGCGGCCGGGCGCTCCCTTGAGGAAGTGGGGGCCGAAGGGAGGCGGGAAGAAGGCGAGCTGAGCAATGGGCAGGGGGTGAGAAGTGTGGGCTGGAGGGGCCACAGCGGGTCCCCGGTGGGTGTGGGCCAGGCTGGGAGGGGCTGGCTCCGCATGTGGCCTCTGCCTTTCCACTGACCAAGCAAGAGTCTGGCCAGGCACGGAGGCAGGGCTTGGGGCAAATGATCCCACTTATCACAGCAAGGCCACCAGGGAGGGGCTATTGTTCCCGCTTTACAGAGGTGACCGAAGCCCAGAGAGGTGGAGGCCCACAGTGGCAGTGGCAGAATTAGAACTGGATCTGTCTCACTCCAAAGCCAAGCCACAAAGAGGGGGCTTGAGTGTGGCCCCAGGGACTGTGGCAAAGCAGGCCTGGGGCCAGCAGGGGAGGAGGGGGCGCCTCAGGCCCAGGGCACGCTGTGGCTGTCGGAGCTGCCCTCTGCAACCCTCCCTGCCTCCCCCCAGCACCTCTCTCTCTTAATTAACACCGGCTGCAAATGAGAGCTGGCTCCGCTCAGGGCAGGCTGCGGGCCAAATGGGTTGGCAGTGAGCCTTGGAGGGGCGGGAGGAGAGGGGGCGCTGACCTGCCATCCTGTAGGCCCCTGTCAGACAGGGGTGCGGCCCCGCCTGCCTGGCACCTTGGACGCCACTGTGTGTGGCCTTGCCAGGCACAGCAAGTTGGGTGAATTGCCCCATGCCCACCTGGCCGTGCCCTGGGGCAGGGTGGGCCGGTCAGATGGCCTCATCTGCCAAGGGGACCAAGGGCAGTGAGGCTCAGCGCCTGGCTCAGTCCTGGCCTGCAGAGGACCTCGGCCCCACTGTCCTCCTCTCCTGGCCCACTGGGAGCTCCTAGTGGCCAAACAGCCCCTCAGCTCACTCTTCCGGGTCCCTGTCCTCCTCTACCCAGGGACTTTGACATCTGTCTGCCCAGTGTCCCCAGCTCGGCCGGGCTCTCCCAGGGTAAGAGCCTGGGGACTGGGGAGAGGACTGGGAAGGGGCAGCAGTGCTGGCGGACACCAAGAGGCTGTCCCTCCGATGTGGTTGCCCAGCCCTCCCTCCAGGAAGAGGACGGCTCCGAGCAGCTCTGGGCTTTCCTGTTCCCAGGCCAGGGCTGCCCTAGCCCAACCCCTGCTCTGACCTTGGGGCTCCGAGTTCTTCCATCCAGGTCCCCTCCCTCATGCCCTGAAGTTTGGCTGAGATTTAAGGTCATAACTGGTCATCAGCCCTGGCTGGCTATGGGAGCTCAGCTGTGTCAGTGAGCTGAGCGGCCAAGTAAGGTAAAGAGCAAGCACTGCTGCCTGCCTCACAAGCGCAAGGTCCTGAGTTCGATCCCTGGTACAAAAAAAAAAAAAAAAGAGTGAGCACTGGGCTTGGAGTACAAGGTGGGACTCCTGACCCAGCCCTACTCTGGGGTCCCAGATCCTCCCCACCAAATGGACTTTTTGCTTTGTCTTATTACTTGGGCTGGCCCTGGACTCCTGGGCTCAAGTGATCCTCCTGCCTCAGCCTCCTGAGTACCAGGGACTATAGGTGAGTGCTACCGTGCCTAGCCTTCAAACAGGGTCTATGGACTCCATAGGGCCTGAGTGAGCAGTAGAACCTGGCTCTGGGGACTGGGGAGAGGCTTGAGGCTCATGGGCTTGCATGGGGTGCAGGTTCCTGAGCGTGCCCGCCCTGGGAGCTGTCCCGGGTCTGCTTGCCAGCCCCTGCACAGGTGAGGTGGCCTCTGCCTGTGGACGCATCAGTACTACACCCCACTGGACTGCACAGGTTGGCTCTGACCCAGCACTGCCCTGTGACCTCAGGGTGCTCTGATGCCAGGCACTCTTAGTCCTCTTAGTCCCTGGGGCCAGCTGGGGTCCTGGGGCCTCAGTCCTGGCCTCCTCCACACTCTGCTGGTCCTTCCCCGACTCCACCCTGCTGCTCCTGCAGTGTACCCAGCCCCATCCCCCTCGGGCTCAGGCACTGGCTGTCCCAGCGGGCAGATGGGCGGGGTGCAGTCTCCCCAGAGTGTGCCCCACCTCCCGGCCTAGTTAGGCACTGGCAGGTGGCCACTGTCCAGGGAGTGAGAGAAAGCCAGACCCGAGTGCTTGGCAACTGTCACTAAAGGTCAGAGGGGGCCTAGGGATAAAGGTGGCACCCAGCCCCTACCTCACATTCTACACAAAACTCTGAGTCCAGCACCCACTGTGTGCAGGACTGTGCTGGGCACCAATGCACAGAGATGAATGGCACCTGTCCCTGCCTGGCCTTGGGGCTTGTGCTCCATGCCATGGAGGTGGCTCTGAGCGGGGCTCCGAGAAAGGCCGAGGTGGCACTGTGTGGCACGGGCACAGCAGTGGGCAAGGGGCTGAGGAGGCTCAGCACTTCCCCCCACAGCATGAGGAGTCACGAGGTTGGGATCGAGGATGGGGCAGGAAGAAGGGGTAGAGACACGCTAGAGACACGAACACCCCTCTTCCTCCTCCCAGTGCCCCAGTTGGTGCCTTTCCTGCTCCTTCTAGGCAAAAGATCATTGAAAGAAGCCACCAGGTGTGGCAGTGGACCCCTGTAATCTCAGCACTTTGGGAGGCTGAGGCAGGAGGACCGCAAGTTTGAGCCCAGCCCGGGCAACCTAGCAACTTAGGGAGATCTTGCCTCAAAATAAACAATGAAAAGAACTAGAGTGTAGCTCAGTGGTAGAGTCCTTGCCTAGCATGTGTGAGCCCCTGGGTTCAATCCCCAGTACTATAAGAGAAAAGAAAAAAAGTAATTTCTTTTACTATCACAGGAAAAAAGTAAACCTCTTGGTCAAAGAAAGTATTTTAAAATATCATACTAATATATTTGTCTTTATAAACAAAGTCATACAATGTCATTTTCAGCAGTGTGTGGAGCAGGGGCCACTGCCGCAAGGCCTGGCTCAGGCTGGCCGTGCCCCTGGCTGGGTGTGAGCTCCCCCAGCTTGCCCTGTGGGATGGACAGGACCCTCACGGTGCCGATCCAAGCTCCTAATTTACCCATTACAACTCTCCTGGGGCTGGGGTGGAGCTCAGCTCACCTTGTACAAACCAGGCACTGGGTTGATCCCCAGAACCACAAGTAATAATAACAACAACAACAACAATAATAACAATAACAGTCTCCATCCCCCAGTGGGGAGCCTGGGAAGGCCTTATGGACCTCAGTGACTAATAAGCAAACCCTTTTCTCTCAGGATAAGAAATGGCCCCCCTGGGCTGGGGATTTAGCTCAGTGGTTCCACCACCTGCCTCGCAAGTACAAGATCCCCAGTTTGATCCCCGGTACCAAAAAAGAAAAGAAAAGAAAAGGCCCCCTAAATGCTCTAGGCCCCAAAGGTCCAAAAATTGTATCACTCTACCTTTTTCTCCTCTTTCTCTGTCTCTTCTTGGACCACACTCCAGGTACTCAAACCTGTCCCACTTCCTCCAGCCCCAGGACCTTTGCATGGGCTGGTGCCTCCCCCTAGAAGAGACCCCATTTTCACCCCAAGAGCCAGCCCTGAGTGCCACATTCACCTACCTGGGGCTAGAGCAGGTCCCTGCCACACCTGTGGGGTGTCCCACTGCCCAGAAAAGTGGCTGTCTGGTTAAACACTCCCCACAGCCCGTGAGTCCCATCCACAGCTCGAAGCAGAGCCTGGGGCACAGCAGGTCCCCAGCAACCATGTACTAAAAGCACCTACAGTTTCCAGATTGTCCCCAATTCTCACACCTGGGCTCTCCACTGCCCAGACCAGACCCCAGGAGTAGGACCTAAGGCAGGGTGCAT